CACCCCATCACTGTGAACCCTCTCCTGAGTAATGTTTTAGGAGCCAAACAAGATCTTACGTATGCTATCATCCAAATGAAAATTGATTAGGATGGTACTAAAACCTTATTAAAAGGTACATTAAAATGGAGGTATAAAGAGGGTGAGTGTGTTCATGAATATACATGGGTCTACTGCAAACATTTAAGTGGGGGGAAAAAGGTACCATTTACTTTATAATACCATAGTTCAAAGGAATTCTGGTTACTCATTGATAGGTGTTTAAAATCATCCTTTGAAAACTAATGACTTCAGAAATAGCCTACTAGCAAAAACTGTGGGGAGTAGTAGTTCCTACAGACCGGGTTTGATGCTAAAAGTACTATCAAAGGTCACAATGGCTAAGTTGTCCAAAAATGTCAGTTTTTTTCCTCACTGCTTTGGTGAGTAAAACTTAGTAGAAGAGCATGAGAAAATGTCCTGTGATTTCCAGATACCACGTATGTGGATATAGAGTAAGTAATCATCTCCTGCTCCTATGAATGACTTGCTGTGAATAACAGGAATGCTGTCTTTGATATGATCACATCTCATCAAGACATAGATTTGTCTAATTTTCGTGTTGTTTGCATTTTTGTCTTCAAAATAAAAACCAGATAATTTCTAAAGTCTGAGTTTCCCCTCTGAATGAACACAAACATTTTCAGTGTATATTAAGAAGCAATATGTGAATGCAATGTTTCTTGAAATGGAACACTGATTTTTTTTTAAAAAAAAAAAAAAAAGATCAGTCCTGCAGAAAAGGTGTGAAGAAAATCCATGGCTTGTAACCTTCATATGAATCAATAGCCTTACAGAGTGAGGCAAATCAAGATACCATAGTGGGATTTTGTAAAGTAGAAGATGCTATACAAGGCATGTAAAACAGTCCCTCCTCTATATTTAGCATTAGTGAAGCCTCAGCAGGAGCAATGTGTAATTTGGGCCACTAATGTTCAAACAAATAAGTGGCTCAAGTTAATGCAGCTAGAAGGAAGCAAGAAAACTGGTTGTGCATCCAGAAAAAATAACTGACTAGGCAACAGTGAGCAGAAGAGAGTCCTTTTAATCTAGGTGATAGGACTGAAAAGAGATGTAGAACTTCAGAAGCGTAACAAGCCTTTGCAGTGAAGGAGTGGTTGTCTCTTCTTTCTGCTGATGTGTAAGAGAAGAGGCAGTGGGAGTAACCTCCATTTGTTGTGTTAGAAGAAAAGAAAAAACACTGCAATAAAGAAGAGTGAGAGAGTGCATTGCCTGGGAAATAGTGCAGCCTTCATGATAAGAGACTTTAGGATTAAGGTAAACAGAGCAGCATCACGTGTTCGGTCAGGCAGATGGATGAAGGTGACTGTCTGAAGTTCTTTGTAGATCTATAAACCTGTCAGTATAGCCTCTGTTTTTTTAGCTTTTTTTTTTTTTTTTTTTAAATTAACCTGCTGCTTAGAATTTCTGTTTGCACTTTGCAAATAATGATTAAATTAGAAGTACCTAAAAATCTTTCAGTGAGGATCTTTTTTCTCTCTTCAGTAGTAATAGTGATTAAATGCACAAGATTAGGATTTGTCTAGGAATCACACAAGGAGTCCTACAAAGCCAGATTTAGGACAAGATAAGATTTAGTGCTGTGTCATGGTCACAAGGCAATTCTTCCATGAGAATGAATTATTCCCTTGCTGCTGAGGTGGTTGTGGAGGAGGGTGATTCTTCTTAAATTTTGTTCTATGGGGCTGTCAAAAAGTTGTTTTGTTGGTCTCTGAAGTACTCAGCTGTACATGGCTGCATGGCTCTTCACATTTGGTTTAGGATCATAACAGCTTTCTCATTTGCATTTGTCTGGCATGACCAAATTATTATACTTGACAGCAAAAGTAAATATGTCTCTATTAGAACAAAAATGAGTGACTAAAGTCAATCATTTGTAGTTACAAAAAAAAAGAGCTGTTTCCAAGTAACGTGTTCTCAGAACACTATAAAAATTGCCGAAAGATTTCTTTTTCTTCACTTGCTCAGTACAGGTGATTTGAATAAGCACTTTAAACTTTCATTTTCGCTGGATAATTAAAATTAAATCATAATTTAACAAATTTAACTGAACTTTGTAAAAATTTCTCCCTTCTGTTTCTAATTACTGCTTATTTTACTTTGTAAATAAATTTCTAATGCCCAAAGAGACAAAATCTGGAGAGTTGGTGGTTTGTTGGTTTTTTTGCTGGGTTTTTTTTCAGATGGTGGACTTGAGTCAAAGATACCTAACAAGAATTGCTGACCCATGTTTTGATTTTTGTTAGAGGACTTGAATGTTTTTCAGTGAGTCCTCAAAATGCTTATGGTTTAGGAACACCAATACTGCCCCTATATTGCTTTCTGGTAGGTAGCCCCCTATTAAATTTAAATACTGATTAATGGTCTTGTTTGGAAATTTCTTTCAACTAATGTTGTTCCAGGCTGCTAATGGCTGCAATGATTTAGGAATGGGAACCTTCAGAATAAGACCTCAGATTTTAAATTTAGGTTTTTTTTAATCTTTAACTGTTATGATATATCTTTGCAGTGATGTGACTATGTAAGTATTTTTGTCTGTAGTAAGAATTTTCTGTTTCACAGCTATTTCAGTGAAGGGCCTTTGACTCTAGGAAGAGGTGAACTGTGAATGGTTATTCCAGATTGATTTAGAATTTTATTTTGTGGCTTTAGAAGACTCCTACACGGATTTCTAAATTGTCTGTATTTTAAAATGTTTTCTGTAAAACCTGAGAGGAGAAAAAAATCTGAGTGTGAATCAAGCTGTTGCTACTTATTTTGCTAACCAGTACTGTCTCATCTCTTTGTGCTTTCTCTTCTCATCTGTACCTACCTTGATTTTAGGGTAGAAGATTTGGGGGGCAGGAATTATTAACCAGTGATGTGCTGATTAATCATCTGGCATAATGGAGTCTGTGTGTGAATATGGCTCCTTGTCCCTATAAAAATCCAAATAGTAAAATATTTTAATGTAGAAACATACTGAGGATGTTACAAGCATTTTTGTAGAGTATTATCAACCTGTGAAGTTACGGGGGGGGATTATACTTCAGGTCAATGTATTATTTATCTGAAAAAATTTAGTTCCTGTGTAATGTATCATTAACTCTACTAAAAAAAATATTAATTAGTCATGTAGCTTATTAACACCCCAGATACACTGAAGCAGCTTTTTGTAGAATATCTGCATATTTTCTTCTTGAGTTGTAGTGTAGCAATAGAGTGGTTTATGTGGTGAAATATGTGTTTTCTTACTTGGCAGTTTGAATTGCTTTAAACTTCAACATTAACTCTGAATTTAAAGATTTATGCTGCTTGTTTTTTTCTAGGACTTTTCTAAAACCAATCAAAATTGACTGCTTTGTGAGCTGTGTGCCCACATACTGCACGTTATTTTATGTTGAAGCAGTACTTACCTGGAGTGTATGCCTTTATTAAAAGAACAAAAAACAGAAACAAAACACTAAAACAAAAAGAGGTGGGGGGGGGAGACACCACTTCTTCTGCATATCACTGAGATAATGCAACAGAAGTTGATTTGTTGTTATTGCTGTTGGAAAGATAATGGGATACATCTTTTTGATCACAGTAACATTTTCTTCTGTCTTTAACTTGCTCTCAGAGAAGAGATGCAACACCTCAAATTCCTTTTGCATGTTTTGTACATGGATTGTACGGTTTCAGAAATCCATGTTGGAGCCTTTCATAAGCAGTAGTAATTAAGTTTCTCAAGGAAATTTTTTTCTAGGTTAATAATTTTTTGCACTTTGTTTTACACAGTATGAACTACTGCTAGATCAATATCAAATCATGGTCTTTTGTGTCTTTGAATGTGTTTACATCAGAGTCTGATAGATTCAGGAAGACCTGAGAATTTCCTAGGATACGTGTTTGATAAATCACACTAAGATACTGGGATTTATTATATCAAATTTTAGGTAGCCTAAGATGTCTTGCTGGGGTACTTTTTTCTTCAGATGGATTTAAACTGGGAAAGCAAAGCAAGAGCTATAACTCAGCCTTATTGTAATTCTTACAGTTCACAACTGAATAGGAGCCCCAGTTTTGTCCAGGATATTTACAGTATGAATGGGTTTCTAAATCACTGCATTTCAAAACAAGTCTGGTATACATTTTCAGCTTTAGCTGTGAGTTTCCTGACTTTTTTCCCTCAAAGTAAGCACTGCAGGTTTGATTTATATAAAGTGTTAGTATTTGAGGAATATTCTGACTGCAGATACGAAGACTGGATTATGAGAAACAGTATGGCAGAAAATGTAGGATTAAGAACTGAGTGGTTATGTTTCTAACCAGCTGAACTCTGGCTCAGTTCTCTCTCTCCCTAGCAAAAGAAAGAAAGGGAAGATGGAGAGAGAAATAATGTAAAGGCAATGCTTTCCAGTTTTGCAGCTGTCTGAAATAGTATACACTTGTAAATAGGAATAATTTAGATTTTTTCTTTCTCTCCAATATGAAGTGATATGTTAATGTTTAATCTGTATTTCACTCAGGTATTTTTTTTATGTAAAATGTGTCTGCAAATGTGCCTAATGACCCTGGGCGAAACATCTTGTAGAGCTGGCTTCCCATCCCTGTGCTGGGAGTGCAGGTGGTGGGCAGCAACAGGACTGCCTCCTACCAAAAAGATCTAGGGCAATTTTGGTAGAAATCTCAATGGCTCGGTGACTGCCAGCTCATGCAGGTAGAGGACAGACAGCAGGGTGTCAGTTAGGGAGCATGGTGCTCGAGCATGGAAACGCTGAAAGGAAACAAGGAAAATGCAGACAGGGAGAGCTTGTGTCTGGGTCCTTGTAGAGCTTTACTGTGACGGAGAAACTTGTCATTTTTATCAAAACAAAGTTGGTTTAAAACTGGCAAAACAAAGCTTAACTAACTTTTCAGAGACTAATGTTTAGGTTTATCGTGGTATATGTATTGTATATTTATTTTTTTTTCCACAGAAACCTGCTAATATTTTAGTTATGGGTGAAGGTCCTGAGCGAGGAAGAGTAAAAATTGGTATGTTTATATCTTTGATAAGTCCCAGTGTAGCATTTAAGTTAGAATGTTCTGAAGGTGCAGTTGTACCACCTAAAGTAGTCACTGTAATACTAGTATGTGCCTGGGCACATTGCCTAAATGCTGTTTTTTGAGTGACTGGCTTCTTGATATTAGCCCCATGCACCAGTTCTGACGATGAAATGCTGTAGCCTCATCAATGAAAAGTGGAAAATGTCATTATATTTTGTTTACACGGGTGTTTGTGTGGGGTGGGGGATTTTGATATGGGGATAAAATTGAGAGCTAGCTAGGGGAAAGGAGGAGAAAGAAGTAGGATTTTTAAATTTCCTCCATTTACCCCTGTATGCCATGACATTATCTTGCTGCTGCTTATAAAATCTAAATAGGGAACTACTCATTATTGCAAACCTTAAATTTTATAATGGAATCAAAGGTGGCATTTAGCCTACAAAATGTTCGGGAAAGAGTAGACAGGTCCCTTGGAGGTGAATGCAAGGGATCTTAAAGTCCAGAAAACACAGTAATGCAGCCAAAATGCTTAGTGAGAACTACTGCTAAATGCTCAAACTGTGGTGTACCCGGGTAGGAAGGACCCAACACTTTCCCCACTATTGTAACATTTTCTGGTGGGAATTACAGTTCACAGTGAGAGGATAATTTGTAGAACTTCAATTGTTTTAAATTAAAGTAAATAAATAAATAAAAATTAACTGTAGTCTAACAGTAATAAGCTATACAGGGCTGTGCATTAGTGTGGCAGTGCTTTTGATAGCAGACTGCTAATGCACAGCCAACTTAGATTTGTTATGGTAACACAGCCCTTTTTGGAAGTTGGGGTTTTTTTTAAAGCTAGTTCATCCTTTTCACTTCCCTCTGGCTTTCTTTTATGAGATTATTCTTCTGCATTGTTACTCTGTACTCTTACTGTTTTGTTTATCTGAACTATATTGTTAATCACTAGTATGATTTGGGATAGGATTTTCCTGGAGCGTTCAGTGCTGCTCTAGTCCTTCCCTCGCCCTTTGAAATCCAAGAGGCAAATGGGCCAGGGCTGAACACTTCTGCAGATCCTACCCTGAAAGTTTTTAATGCCCTTCCAAGGTTTAGTTCACAGTAGAGATGGAGGTCTTCTCTGTACAAAACAGGTACAGCATGGACAGTGGAAGGGAACATTTCTTCCTATTACCTTATTCTTGATGGGGCGGTTGCTTCCAAAATTGAGAATGTAGGTCATCCTCTGGGCACATTCACTTTCAGCTGTGGTGGTGATACTTGCTGTACACAACTACTTGCTAGTAATTGCACATAGACCACCCATTTATTTCTTAATTTATAGTTTTGAATTAATTTGGGAATAACCTAGAGTACAAATAAATTTAGTCATACTTTGTTAATGGACAGGTGAAAGATTCTGTATCGGACCACCAGTCCTCTGAGCCATCCATTCCCAGCAGGGAAAGAGTGGGGGGGACACCCTGGATTTCTAAGTGTGTTATCAAAATGTAGATTTTTTTGTTTTTTTCCTTACTTTCTTAAGATACTACTACAGCAGGAAAGAATGCAGAAGTTATACCCATACCAAGGGCTTCCACTTTTCCAGTGTAATTAATTTTTCTAAAAAATACATAACTGGTATTTAACTTAAAATAATTTTATAAGCTTTTTGTGTCATTTTGAGTCATAAATTCACTTTCTGCCAACAATTTTCCTTATTTTTCAGAGTTACTATGACTTGATCATATCTTGAGTAATTGATATTTTAATGTAGAAAACTGTAAAATGTTTCTCTTTTTAAACGCAATAAACCAACCATAAATAGGAATGCATATGATAAAAAATTATTAAGGATTGTGTAGTCAAGTTAGAGACCCATATCTACAGTGCAGTTTTCCCTCAACTAGTGAGCTATAGCGTGTAGGTCCTTTTCCCTCAGAACGGCTACTCATCTCATTTCATTCAAGTCTTTCTCAGCATGTGTATATCCCTGCACCACAGAGTCCCTCTGTTTTGGGATTTGGGGAAAGGTGGGTTGGGAAAACAGTTTGGTGGGAGAAGTTGTATATTCTAGTCTCTGCCCATTTTTTTCTGTATCACTTATATTCGTAGTTCAGACAATTCTCTAGGCAGCTACATTATACCAATTCTAAAATGCAGGTTTTAATGATATAATGCCCCCAAAAAGAGTTTTAAAATCACAACCTAAATGGTATTTAGTACTGCTATCTTGATACTGGAAATACGTCTTGACAGAAAATTAGCAGGGATGCAGATGCAGTAGGCTTAGTTGCTGGTTTTGTGTGAAGGAAATCTTGCTACAATTAACTTCATGAGGAGGGAGCTTTTGTGATGTGCACGTATGTATTATAAATCATTCTAACCTTTGCAGAACCTGCGTTTTGCTCACATTTAAAATGCTGTTTCTTGAAACATCATCCTGTAATAACACAATGTTTTACTGGAGAATATAGGTAAAATGAGTCAGGATTTACCAGTGTCCTGAGAAGTGAGTTGATGCGCTTTTTCAGAACAATGGTTAATTCTTTGTTCTAAATGGCTTGTGTTAGTAATGATTTATAATGATATACCTTATAGGGGATGACATCCAGTAACTTCTACAAAAGCTTTAAGACAATCTGCTCACAGAATTCATATCTGCTACAGTCTGCGTTTGCATTTTATTTAGCAGTGATGGTAGCCTAACAAGTAAACTCAGTTTGTTTAAAAAAAAAAAAAAATTGGTAGTTTTCCTCAAATTTTAAAGCACTTCTCTTTGAATTTTGCAGCTGACATGGGCTTTGCCCGATTATTTAATTCACCTCTGAAGCCTTTAGCAGACTTGGATCCCGTAGTTGTAACATTCTGGTATCGAGCTCCAGAGTTGCTTCTTGGAGCAAGACATTATACCAAAGCTATTGGTGAGTAAATTGGATGAAAACTTTCTGTTTTGTTCTTTATATAAAGTCTACCCAAGTATTGAAGCATTGATGAGTAGCACAAAGGACAGTAGCTAAGGTAAAGGTACATTACTGATTTATTGAAGGAATATTAAACTTTGACACATTGTTAAGTTTGCTATGGTCTCTGGCTATATATATAGGAATATTTCTGGGGTTTGGCTCCAAATGCCCTGCGATGTAATATAAGTTTATCTGGCTTTCACACAAGACTTTCATAAATGCTGTTAGAGGCAATACAAAATACAGATGCATCTTTGAACTATTAGTATAATCTATATTATGATGACAATGAGACACAGTGCATGAATTTATAGCAGAAGTTTTTACCTAGTATAATAAATACAAGAAATAAGGAATGTACAGAATGGAGAATATATTTGCTGCACTGAAACTAAACTGTAATTATAAGCTGCACTTTAGCCTCTCTCTATGGCTTTTTCAAAGCACAAGTATGAATAGGAATTGCTTGCGGTAGTGAGATGTGGTCATTGTCATGTAACAGGCTAGGCTCTGATGCTGCATCGGGCATATCCAGAAAAAAACAAACCTCAGAAAATGCAGATGCTGTGAGGATGGCATTAGTTACATCACCTTAATGCTGCATCCTCCTCGCCACTTAATTCATACTTGCCAGTCTGAGTTTTAACAGCTTTGGTATGGGGTGGCTGACTTCGCTCTGCCAGTCTCTGCTCTTGCCATTTCAGGGGTAAGGGATCACTGGTGGCAGGAGCCGGTGTGTGCTGTGGCTGTAGGACAGGGGAATAGAATAGCCCAGTAGCAGGCCAGGGTGAGGTTCACATTTTGTGGATGTGAAGAGCTTTGCAGTGGGAGGGAAACTGTTGGAAAGAGGACTGGGAAGCTTTTCCTCTTGCAGCTAGTTTAAAAGATATGTTAAAGCCTGGTAGCCATTTTTGGGGTAATAAATTCCCCTGCAACATTCCACTTACTTTACACAAACATGGAGGTTGTATATCAGCACACATGTTGTTGCTGTAACCTGAAAATCTTTCCTCAGGCCGTAGCTATTGTTGTTTTAAGATCATGTCAGTGTTTTTGTCAGAAATTGTATAATGTTTGACTTAAATGTATTTTCATTTACTTTTCCATTAGTACTGTTTCTTTTATAGATTAAATAAATTTATTTATATGTTCCTTTAAACTGCTTTTTTTGGTTGCATTTGCATGTTCCTTCACTTTCCTGGCATTTTCTTCTGCGTGCAGCATGTGAAACTGCATGGACAGTCATAGCCTTTAGTACATAATTTTTTTCGGCATAGATAAAAACTGACTGTATACAAACACTGAGTAATGGGGTTATGCTCTCTGCATCATTTGCTTTTGTCCTTGTTCACGACCTTTTCTTGTTCATTTAAGGTTCAGAGTAGCATTACTTTCTGTAAGTTAAAAATTGCCTTTTTATATATGAGAAAAAAATCAGGAAAACAACGGAAAATTCAGGCTATCTGATTTTGCAGATTGGGACATAACAGTTAAAGGGTTTTGGTTTGGTTTTTCTAAATTGATTTTATCAAACAAAGGGGTGAGGTATGTGGGCATGAAGCAATTTTCTTGTTACTTTCTTTCCCTGAGGTTTTATAGATAGCACCGGGCTTATTCCAGTATCACTGCTTTTCAACTTGTATTTTTTGGGTCACTTAATACTTAATACAGTGGCTGATCTGAGAGGGCACATTTCTCGGTGGAAACAGTATGGCAGTGAATGGGCAAGATGTTGGTTGGCCTTTCTTCATTTGTATTTTATGTGTGGACAGTTACCCAAACAGTTTCCTCTTTTTTTTTCTTAATCAAATTCTTTTTTTTTATAGCAATAAATGGTAACTACATTTTAAAAACACAACAAAAACTTGTATGATACTCTGTCAGCTCCTGTGTAGTTACTAAATTGTGTACCTCTATCTGAAGCTAGAAGGAAAAGTTGAAGTGTTGCACTTTTACAAGAGGAACTTGAAATTTTTGGTGCAGGGACCTTATCTCTGATAAACTAAAAACTAACATTCTACCTCACCAAGATCCTTTTGGAAAGATTAATTTTATTTCTGTTCTCCTTTTTTAAAGATATTTGGGCCATAGGGTGTATATTTGCAGAGCTGCTAACATCAGAGCCAATATTCCATTGTCGACAAGAAGATATCAAAACTAGTAATCCTTATCATCATGACCAGCTGGACAGAATATTCAATGTAATGGGATTTCCTGCAGGTACATACTGTATTTTTTTTAATCACTGCTGTTCAAAGAAAGATATCTGTATTGCTTTCTTTGCATAGGAAAGTGGCAGCTGATCAAAGCAAGAAAGCTGTTCAAACACAATCTTTTATTTCATGAGTTATAAATCTAGAATCTAATGGTCATATTAGATATTTTACCTATTATTAATGATAGGATTATCTGTACGTATACATGTACCAACGTTTTATAGTTTTAAAAGATCATGTTTAATGGTGGTTGATTATAAACCAGAAGAAATATTTCTGCATTTCTTCAGTACCAATGGTAGATTTGGAAAGTTACTGATTGTATGAAATCAAACGAAATCTATACATTGAGTGCATATTATGCAGATGTTTAACTCATGCTAAATTAAACATAGCATTTGGAAGGAGGGGAGGGTATTTCAGGTTGTTTTTTTTTCCCCTTGTAGAAAAGCTTGTGATATAGAGAAAATTTCTTTATTCCAAACCAGAACAAAGAACAGGTTGCATGAACCAAAAAAATTACAATGTGGATATCACTTGTTGCATTTTCCCCTCAGTGTTGTTCATATCTTGTTTTTCTACAGACTGTCTTGCATCTTTTCAGTTAAGGCTTTGTCTCCTAGTGTTTTCATGATCACAGATGTCAAAATAACAGGGGCCTTATTTTTACTTTTTGGTCATCTTTCTCCTCACTGCTTGTGTTTCCCTCCTGTTGTCCATTGACTTTTAATAAACTTTCTTTACTGTTCTGGTGGACTGTTTTCTTCCTATCATATGGATTTTGTGATCTTTATGTTTGTGTGGTTCTATAATTTTGTTACTAAAGTCACTCTTGTGTTTCCCTTTGACTTTTTTTGTCCTGTCTGTACTTCATTGCTTCTATACTGCTGTATGGGATTCCTGGATGTGTTGCCTTTCTGCTTTTAGCCTAGAATTTTACCCTTTCTTATGCTTTTCTTCCAGTGGGTTTCATATTGTCTTTGTGTAGTTTACATAAATACTCTCATTATTGTTTCGCGATTGGTTTCAATAATCCTTTCTAATGGTCTGCACTTGATTTTTTTTTTTAACATCTTTGGTTCTTACCAAGAAATATTATTTTTAATTGCAGCAGATTTTTTACTTTTTAATCGACACTTGCCATATTCAAAAGTTCATGTCTTTGGGATAGGGAAAGAGAAGAATCTTTTATTTAAATAAATAATAATTAACTTTTATTTATTCGCTTAATATTTTTAAGCTCCCAGTGTTTGCAGTTGTGATAAGACTTACTAAGGATTTGACTTGAATCAAAGTACTTGCTTTCAGAGCCATTTCAGGAGTTACACAGCATAATATATTTGAGGCTAGGTGCTGTTAGTGATTGATTTTATTTTTAAATCCATTTCAGGCTTTGTCTACACAGAGAAGTTGAGATGAAATATTCTTTAATTTGAGTGTGCAAATGTTACTTTTTCTCAACCTTTTCTCGGCTAATAGTTATTTCTTTCATGTTGAGACAGAAATTTACACAGGACCTCTGGGCATTTTCCTGTAACTGAAGACAGTGCTGTCAGAATGGAAAATCCTGTAGAAGGAGACAGCGTTTGCAGGAGTCTTGTGTACTCCTGTCCTGAGATCATGGCTGTGCCTGAATAAATTAAATAGCAGTCCTGAAAGACGCAAGCCCAATAGTTGACATGTTTTTCTTCTGTGTTGTCTTTTGGGCATATGGTGATCTTCATTGTAGCTGGCAGCTGGTTTTTTAAGTTCTTGAGTTAATCAACTCACAGCAACCTCTTAGGTGTTGGTATTGTGAAGATTTATTGTGAAGAGGTGATGCAGGAATATGAGCCAAGGAGTACAAAGAAATACGTAACTACAAGGTTAGAGAATAGAGAAGCAGAAGAAAGAAAAAATCAGGTCTGTGGAGATAGTTGGAAAGTTTTTGTTTTACTTGGAGGAGAGAGGAAGAAAATTACTAATAAATACTGATTTTGCAGATAAAGATTGGGAAGACATAAAGAAGATGCCTGAACATTCAACTTTAATGAAAGATTTCCGGAGAAACACGTAAGTCTGCTTTAAGTTGCACTTTGAGAAACCATATTTTACTTCTCCCACCCACTCTAAATTCCTTGTAGCATGGGTTATTTTTCCATGTAGATGCCAAACAAGAACTATGAAGAGGTTATGACTTCGATTGTGGGGGGGGAAAAAAAATCAAGTTGTTTCACAATGATGAACTTGGCCTGTTGAGGTGGTATGAATCGGAAGAGTATCCAGAGACAGACTGTAAATGGTAAAGGTGGCAGGTGTGAAATGGGTGATGCCAGTAAGACCCCACACACCTCTGAAGATTGCTAAGCACAGTTAGTCACAGCTGTTTCCAAATCCATGGTACTGGAAATTACTTTTCTGTGATAGCTGCATAAAAGGAATCTGGTAACCTTATACTGTTTCCAGTAAACAATGGGTATAATTGCCAAGTTTGGTATCTAGGGTAGCTTATGAAGGCTAAAGAAAAGAATAGCTTTGAGTTTTTCTGTCACATTGCCAGAGTCTAATACCTGCACTTAAGACCCTACCCTGTTGCCTTGTTTCCACACCAAGGGATTTGGGGCTGCACTGTTACATACATTTCTTGCATCTGCCATGATATTGTAACCATTCAGAAACCTTCTTTCTGAGCTTCTCTTCAAAAAAGTAAATTCACAGATGTTCTTGTAGCAACCTGCACATTGCAGGAGAGTGTTAAGATGGGATTAATATTTATCTTCATGTTTACTGGCATTAGCAATACACAGAATGAAACTATATAGTAGTAAAATTGTTAAAAGGCAGTTTAAATCCAAGTGATATTTTGCTGTCTGCATGTGATTAAAAAGTGTTCTTTTTGTGTGGATGCGGTGTGTTTTTACAAGCAGGTGAGGGAGAGAGAGATGCGTTTCTCTAGTGTCTGAATGATTTTTAAGCAATCTCTGGTGTTGGTAGTTTTGTTTTTTTCCTAAATGGATTAGCAATGGAGACTAAACTGTTCTTACTATGTTTTGTGGCTACTAAGAAAGCTTTGCAGTATCAGTGATTTGCATATTATAAATGTTACTTTTTTCCATTTTCTAGGTATACCAACTGCAGCCTTATCAAATATATGGAAAAACATAAAGTTAAACCAGATAGTAAGGCATTCCACTTGGTAAGTTCCTGCATGCTTAAAAAAAATCAACCTCCTCATAAGTTGCACTTGTTCAAAGTGAGAGTTGAGCTGGTGTCAAGTACACTGTGACTAACTTCATTTTATATAAAGTTAGTATATATATAAATATATAAATATATAAATATATAAATATATAAATATATATATTATATATATAATATACATTATACCTTTTTTTAAAATAAAGGTAGGAATAACCCACACTCTGCAATCTGAGAACTGCAAAACAACTTTATTTTCTCACATTGATAAAATTATTCTGTGAGTCGTTCACTGCATTACATTCTGTATCTAGTATATCAGAAGTTTTCAGTCTTTTCATGTTTAGTTTCTAATTATATTTGCAGTGTGGCTGCAACTCTTAGCCATCTTGCTGCTTTACATATGTTTAATATAGCCTATTTTTTATTTTTTAAAAAAGGCCTAAATGTCTAATTTTCTACATACTCATTATTAAGCTTACAGATTTAAAACAAAAAAAAACCCCACCTTGAGATCTGAACATGTAGTTTGGAAAATTTTAGTATGTCTTCCTGGTGCACTAATCCTTTGTAGCTTTCTTATGAAAACTTTTTAGTACTCTTGCAACAATGATTTTCTGTCTCAAACATGTAACTTTTTTAAATGCAAACTGCAGTTAAAATTATAAACTTGCTCAGCCTTGGAACTGCCTGTGTTATGTTGTTTCAGAAGTTACTATATTGGGCCTTTTTTCCTGTGTTTTAAGGAACATTCAAGTCTCTAAAATAAAATTTATATATATACGGAGAAGAAAGAATTTAAGTATATCTAGTCTCTCTGAAAGGACATTCTCCTTATCTTGATGTTTCCAACTCAGATTAAATGTTTTCAGGCTAGAATTACAAGGTCAGTATATTACTGGAGAGGCAGGAGTGTGGGAAGAAAATAGGAGCTTTTTTGCTCTTGGAGATGAAAGGAATGGTTTGGAGGAAAGGGAGGATGGTTAAAAGGCCTGAGTGTCTGAGGACATGTAGCTTTTGTTAAAATCACTGGAAGCCGTACCTTCTCTGATAATCAGACCCGGGGGTTTTTAAGCTGCCATCTTTTTTCTGTTCAGTACTTTTTCCTCCATATAAATCTTGGAATTTATCCTTCAGTCAGAGCAGCTCTGGGGCGATATTCTTTGCGTGGCATACCGCATAAGTTATACTGAAACTGGTATAAAATAGAATGTATATTCAAGGTTCATGTTAAAAACAAACACAAGTATAATCAGGTGAATCAAGTAATCATTGCAAGAAGTTACCTGGTGGTTGTACCATTATGCATCATTTACTGTCAAGTGTTTCTGCTCTCTGAAGGTAAAAGTTGGTGAAATACTAGTGATGTTTACATGGGCAAGAAAACTAATTCTCTCCAGTTGAGATTTTGGTTTTTTAATGGATTTTTGTATCCAGATAGAATTAAAAGCTGCTAAGCAGTCAGTATATTTATATGTAATGCATAAAATTATGTTGATATGTGAGCTGAACTTCCATTATGCACAAAGTAGTCCATCCAATTTTGCTCATAATGAATCCAGTTACCATGTAGCTATTTATAATAGAGCTTCATAAATGCATTTTTAGTATTTACCAAAATGTTTTATGTTTCAGCATAAAAATACACACTTTAAAAAAGATAAATTTGATATAGCAAGTTGTTATTATTATTGTTGTTATTATTACTATTATTATTATTATTATTAATAATATTTAGGCTTTGATAGGAATATTAGTTATTAAGTAATTCAACAAGCGAAAACCAATGACATGTCCACCGAATAAGATGTTTTGCATAGGATGGTGTTTGGATGTGAAAACTTATCCTTGGATTTCAAGTGAAGCACATTGAATGAATTTGCAGATCTTTCTCATCCGCTACTCTAGGCAGATGTTCCACAAAATTATGGAAATGCATACATCAGTACTTATCTCCCTAATTCCACTTTCTTTGAGAACAAACATGATGCTTGTCATCTACAAGTTTGACTTTTGACATATCTGGAGCCTAAAGCTTTCAAGATTAGGCTCGTGTTGCTGTACCAAAATCTGAAAGTGGCTGTCACTAGCTGAGAAAACTCAAGTCAATTCTGCCTGCTAAAATCAATCACACTAGATTTTCATGTCACACCTAGGCAATCTGAGCTAAAAACCTTTGCCGTGCAACAACCTGCGTAACGTGGCCAGTCACTTCATCTTCAAGTAATGCAAGTGCTTTTCCCCTCTCTCAGTCCCTCAACTATTTCTTTCTCACTGCTCTCTCATCTGATCATTTAACACAAAGCTCAGGTAAAATTGAGTAGTTCAGGCTGTGCTGTATGTCTTGGCAGTCCATAAAAAAGACTTTCTCTAAATGAACTATCCTCTATTAAGAGCTGTGAGTGCTCTGGCCAAATTGACCAGAAATTTCTCATCCACCCTGCTAGTCTTGTGATTTTAGAAATTGTTTTAAATAGAACAATGAAGTTAGAGCAATCACATGAGAATAGCTTTAAACACATACTACAGTGTTTTTTCTTCTGCCTATGGTATCATAACAGGCTGGTAACTGTTTGAATGTCTTCAACATTTTTATTCAGCATGTTTGTATTTATACCAAAAATCAGTGGTTACATTAAAATGCAATATCAAGGAATGGTGTCCTTTACCAGGCTACTACTAACCCTCCATCCTTGGCCATATCTGTTAATACTGGACAAGAGGACCAGGAGGTGAGTTTGAGCATCGACCCCTGAGTGAACATGCTACTCAGCTCTCACCCACTTGCTTGGTTTGGGCTTCTACCCACCTTCCCTTCAGCAAAACTGGTAGTGAGAGAGAGAGAGCACTCAGTGTCAGTGTCAAACAAGATAAAAAGCAGAGTACTTAGTAGTGTAGACAGAGCCATATTCATTTGTACCTCCCATAGGTACAGATTGCAAACTGTGAAGTTGGTCATTCATTAGCTCCAAGAGGATCCTTTAATTTTTCTGCTAACAGCTGTCTGTCAGAACAATGAAAATCAGATCCCATTTAAAAACCTTGGCCTTTCCTAAGTAACATTGTAAAACTGTCCAGGGACTGCCAAAATCAGAAGGTGTCTTAGGTTTGCACTCGCACTGAAGCTAGGCTGAACTGCAGGTGAATGCCTTAGGCCCCTCCACCACAGCCCGAACAAGTTCAGCAGATCTTTTAGTACCAGTTCTTCCAGAGATACTCAAGATCCTACTCTTACACAAGCTGTCTCACAGCCCTTTTACTCTGCATCAGAACAGATAAACTGTTTACATCAATTGTAAAATATGCCAGAATTAATAATTCCAGGAGTAGTAAATTCAGAGTTTGTTGTCACTGCCAAAAATGAAATTTTTTTATTTCCCAACTTGAATTATCCAGATTTTTTCCCTCTTTACTGACATTTATGCACATAGTCGCTTTTCACATGCAGAACTGATGTGTTACATGAGACAACTTTGGTTGCTTTTGCAGCTTACATTCTTTTCTACTTCCCTGATTTATTATTTAAAATGAATATGTGACTGCTGCTCTTAGTTAATTGAGTGATGCTTCATCTTTCATTTGGTTATGGTGGTCCATATCCACGGCAGTGATTGTACCACTCATTGCTGATGGATAGCTTACTGAATTTTTCTTATGTCATTCAGCTGGGTGATTTTTTAATTGAAAAGTTTTTAAAATAGAAAATATTTGTAATAATAGGTGAAAGAATCACTTCTATGCTGGCACCTGAACAAGGGGGTAAAATAGAAGTTTTTGATCCCTGGTGTGATAATGGTTGCACAATCATTAAATTTCTCTTCTGGTTTCTGTTTTCTGTTGCTGATTATTACCAAGTTTGCTCACATCTTGTCAGCATGCAGTGGACAGCTTTATAATCTAATTGCCAGAAATGGTGCCAGAATTTTGCAGTGTTTTTTGATTGTGATGTTTTTCAGTATGTTGACAATTCATTCTCATTTTTTGCCTTCCCTTTTTCTGGGAATTTCAAGAATTGTTCTGTTCAAACCGATATCATGCAAAGACTACATGCAGACTCAAAGAGCTGAAATAACTTATTGTCAGTTGTTGTTGGTGGTGTGAGAAACAAAACTGGACTGATGGTGGCGATACATATTTATTATGTTCTTAATTATGATATTAAAACTGAAGGCTGAGGAGAGGAAATACTTTGCTAATGTTAGCTGTCTGCAGTGGGAAGGTCTGCCGTGTGGTTATGTATGCTCACTTAATAGCTAGTGGAAGGAGATGACCATAGATCATGACACTGGATCTTTATAAAAAAGGTGACTTAAATCCCATGAATAGCAAATGTAAAATCAGTATCATCTGCCTATGAGGTTTCTGCATATCTTTAGATCCTGATTAAAAAAAGGTTGAAAGTGTAACATTTCTTTTAAAGGTCACTGTCTTTGATAACACATCATGGTGTAGTTTTGCCTTGGACATTGTATTCTATGGTGAAACATGAATCACTATTTTCCTTTTTTTATGTAATATCTGGCGGTTATCTCATTCAGCCTATGTATGGTGCTTGTCCAGCACAGCTGTATTCCACAAAACTGCTGAGTAGATGGAGAGAAGTATATGCATGTACACCAGACCTTTTGACTAAGAATCTCTTATAGAATGCATCACTGCAATTCAGTGCTAGAGTTAAATAAAATCACTCTGGTCTGCTATTCCTGAAACAGAAAAATCTTCAGACCTGTGATGTTTCAAATGTTTTTTTTAATTGGAAATCACTGTTGAGATGCTGCAGTGACAAAGGTATGAAGTCCAGCCAGCTTTTGAAATGTTTGCATAGCTGTAAAATGAAACCAGAAGAGTAAAACCAGTACAAACGGTTTTTAGAATTACTTTTCAGTCGATAATGTTTTGTTGACTTTAGATTTTATGTCTGTTATTAGTATTTGAAGTTACTCAGGAGGAGTTCCTGGGTATCTATCCTAAGCATTTCTTATAGCATGTTCATCTAAGTAGCAATGTTTGTAACTGTTTATACAGATCTCTTGCTTTGCTTTGGTCAGTTTTGGTTATTTTAATTTTCATTGGATATCACCTTAGGATTTTTGCTCTGCTGTTTCTAAAAAGTCTTGTATGCCTTTTTTTTTTTTTTTTTTAAAGATGGGCATCAGGCAGCAAATAGCCTAATATGCTTCTAGTCCTCTGTTAAAAGTTCCCAATGAGAGTAAGAGGTGCTTTCTCAAAGTGTAAGGTTTTGCTGGACTTTTAATTGAACTGAGTTCAGCTATTTTGTAAAACATTATACTTTGCCTTGTGTTCTCCATTTTTATATTTTGTGATTGTCTTCATTGTCTTTAACCAACTCAGGCATTTTGGAAAGAATTTTTTTGTCAGGTAGCTGATGCCCAATCCATCAGTTGTTGCAAAGGTAAAGACTGAGGACTTAACAGTGATAGTGCAACAGCACGAGAGCTCAGATATGCTGTGCGCATGGAGGAGGCAGCTTATTGGACTTCTGTAGGGTATTTTGCATCGTCATGCAAAAAAAAATCAACTAAAATTCAAGATTTTGCACAACTGCTCTTTTGAGCAGCATGTAGTACACAGATGTGTCTGAGTCCATATTTGTCAGAATAAAAATTGGAGTGGGTGATAAAAAGTTATCTGGCCAGGTGGGTGTTTTGAACATGCTGACTATTCCGTTCTTTTACAGCATAAAGATTTTCTGAGGAGTAACTTCATATAATATCTTTAAAATACTGTGGATGACAGTGGAGATGTACTAATATGACAATACTAAATAATAAGCAATAATGGACATGGAATCACTTGTTTATTAATTGCAAAGAATTATTTGAATTTAGATGGATGTGATGTTGTTTCCTATTAAGTGCAGTGTAGTTGAAGAAACCGGGATAAATATGTGCATGTTACATCTTCTTGTGGGAAGTGAACTGACCATTAAAGAGAGAAGGACTTGGAGGTGCTGGTGGATGAAAAGCTGGACATGAGCTGGCAATGTGTGCTCACAGACCAGAAAGCCAACCGTGTCCTGGGTTGCATCAAAAGAAGTGTGGCCAGCAGATTGAGGGAGGTGATTTTCCTCTACTCTGCTCTCATGAGACCCCACTTGCAGTGCTGTGTCCAGCTCTGGGGCCCTCAACATAAGAAGGACATGGACCTGCTCGAGTAGGTCTTGAGGAGGGCCATGAAGATGAGGAGGAGGCTGGAGCACCTCACCTACGAGGACAGGCTGAGAGAGTTGGGGTTTTTCTGCCTGGAGAAGAGAAGGCTCCAGGGAGACCTTATAGCGACCTTTCAGTACCCAAGGGAGTTTGTAAGAAAGATGGGGACAGACTTTTTAGCATGGTCTGTAGCAATAGGAGAAGGGGTGATAGTTTTAAACTAAAAGAGGGTAGACTTAAGACTAGATATAAGAAATTTTTTAACATTGAGGATGATAAAGCACTGGTACAGGTTGCCCAGAGAGGTGGTAGATGCCCCATCCCTGGAAACATTGAAGGTCAGGTTGGACGGGGCTCTGAACAACCTGATCTAGTTGAAAATGTCCCTGCTTATTGCAGGTTGGTTAGACTAGATAACCTTTAAAGGTCCCTTCCAACCCAAACTATTCCATGATTCCATGATTAAAGCTGCTGGTGTGTTGTGGAAAGTCTTTGAATGCTTTTGTTAAGATTTGTGACTGGCAAGATTTGTGAGTGTCCTAGTCTTTGCAAGTTAAAGTAGTTGTTCTTCAATGGGAAATGAAGTTACTATTTTAACAAGAGAGAAGAATGTGATTATGCCATTTATGGTTAGGGTTTTGAATTCAGACACATTTGTATCAGCTTTTCTTTCAGGAATAAAACAGTGAAGTTTCTCTTAACAGTTTTGTTAATGCAGAGCTTTTTATTTTTTATTTTGGCAGCTTCAAAAATTGCTCACTATGGATCCAATAAAGAGAATTACCTCAGAACAGGCTATGCAGGATCCCTATTTCTTAGAAGATCCTCTTCCCACATCCGAGTAAGTGGTCGGTTTATGAACCTATCAGTACGTCCAGAGATGCTTTAGAAATGTGTGCTTTCTCTCTGCTGTAAATATGTTTAAGCTAAACACTTGCTGGCTAACAACTGAAGAAAGCTATAACCACTAAAATGCCATTTGTGGTTTTTAAAATTAAGTAGCATTCTTATTAATCTCTTGCTTTATAGAACTTTGATCCTATTAGTTGCAGAACTAATCTTGTTATTCACTGACAGGTTGATTATGCATGCTACAGATCTTTGCAGACAACTGCTAAGTGCCCGCAGGTCCACTTCTCTGCTCCAGAATGCCAGATGACACTCTCTAATTAGTTTACATTTTTCTGTCTTAGCGTTGTTGTAAATTCAGTGGGTGGGGGAAGTTAACTCTATGTTTCTGTGCTGTCATCCTTAAACAACTTAAATCCATTTTCTTTAGACACTCCTCTTTTCTGTTTGTACAGGGAGATTTACAAAAGGAAGAAAATTTAGGGACAGTGAATGATTTAATTAAAAATTAAGTCTCCCTCCCTAAAGACTAGCCAGAGAACATGCTTGTACACCTTTTTAGGAAAGCTATTAGTGCATCCTGTGTATGATTCTCTACCGTTATCTAGGGAAGAAATTATAAAATATGGTATGTATATTTATAAGCAATTAATTAAAAATGAAATTATTTCACTAAAACCTACTGGTTTATTTATAAGAGCTGTCTCAGTGATTTAATGTTGTTATGTGCATGATTCACTCCTGCAGAAAATGCCTTTAGGACAGTGTTGTCTTCTTTCTCAACTTTAGGTTGGCATTTTAATGTGAATACACAATGAGTAATGCTAACAGGTGTACAGAGACTTTATTAAAAATACATTCTACTGATTAAAGACAGGTAAATATTAGCTTGCACTAGCAGTAGCAAATTCATGTGGACCATGAGATATGAATTGACAGATGAAATTTCTACTTATTTTTAAACTTTGTTCCAGGTGGTTTTATTAAAAGTTAGTGGAGTTTCCAGGAGTATTTTTAGTTTGTCCTGAGATTGTGAATTACACGATAGTTGGATTAAGATAGCTCTTTGTACCCTTGCAGATATCTAACAGATGGTGTACCTTTCCAGCCACCAGTTTGGTCCAGTTACCAGAAACCATGAAAACTATTATAATAGGAGTTTAAATAATTATATAAGAGGCAACTGAAGATTAAAAATAAATGTGAATAGGTTTACTAAGTTTTAGAACATGATGAAAGTAAGACAGGGGAAACTTCTCCATTAGTTACAAGTATTAGGCTATGGCTCAGGCAACTTGAAACTAGCATGGGTGAAGTATGAATGTTACAGGTTTAACACTTCTGTTCTTATACAGTGATAGACTTTTTTGGGGGGCAGTGTTTTTGCAGGTTGTCAAATCCCTTACCCAAAACGAGAATTTTTAACAGAAGAAGAACCAGATGATAAAGGAGACAAAGTAAGTACTGGAAGAACAGTATCATCATGCTTCACTGGCTTTCACACTATTTCCTGTTTTCATGTTATTTCATGTACTGCTTTTGAGTTGAAATTTTTCTTTGTGTTTAAACAATTGAGAAGAACCAGCAGCAGCAGCAGGGCAATAACCATACTAATGGAACTGGTCATCCAGGGAACCAAGACAACAGTCACACACAGGGACCCCCACTGAAAAAAGTGAGAGTTGTTCCTCCTACCACTACCTCAGGTGGACTTATTATGACCTCAGACTATCAGGTATTTGTTTTATTCATATCTCGTGTCTTTGGTTCTCATGTTTACAGCAGTGTTTCTTTAAGCTAAAAAAGTAGGTTTTTTTAAATGTTACTGTATTGACTGGTATTTTTTGGCATCTTTCAGATGTTTTTTCAGACGCATTTAGTTGATGGCTTGCCTGTGAATTGATATGCTGGTTCTCCTTAGGTTAGAAGTAAGGAAATTAGGATCAGAGATTATTACAGTTATTAATTTATTATCTTCTTATTAGGGAATGCTGATTGTCAACCAGGAGCCTAGCATGCTGCACTCTGTATCACCTAAAAATACCGTTCCTTATTTGAACAAGCCTGTAATGGTAGGAGGCAAAGAATATTGCAGTAAACAAGGTGTGACATAACAATCTGAGCAATAATTTTAGTTGGGCAAATGTATGGGAAAGCAGTATTTTGGATGACAAACAGAAAGACCTGACATGATGCTGTCATAATGTCTGTTTTGAAGGCTGAGGAAGATTCCAGGTTGAGTAAGCCCAGTATTATAGATCTGAAGAGGCAGGTGAGTTGGTGAACAAGTGAGTGAGGAAGTTGAGGAGTGTAGGAAAAGCTTGAGGAAGACTTGAAAACTGTGTTCTAGCCTTCCTGCATTTGAGATTGTGGTCAGACCTTAGGAAATCAGAAGAGTCTGGAGCAGAAGAGTATCTGTAAGTCATCCCAGGGAATGATACCTTAATTTGTGGGTTTGAATGAGGTTATTCCTGGAGACTGGGGAGAAGAGAGTTAAAGACAGAACCTTTAGTTAATGCAAGCTAAGAAGTACAAAAGAGGAGCAAGAAAGACTTCAAATGATATGCATAGTAGCAGTTAGAGAAGTGGCAGATTTTGGAAGCCTAGGGAATAGATTTCAAGAGGAGGCATGCTGGTGGAAATGTTAGCCTGCAGGAACTGATAAATACTGGTTCATATGGAATGTATAGCACAGAAGGCCAATTGGAAGAGAGTCCTGGATGAAATAAAAAGATGGAGAAGTCAGAAACTACTGCCACTGTTTTCAGTTAAAGATTAATATCTAAATCTGAGACCCTAATATTGGAAACCCACTTAGCTATGCTTGTATTCTGTAGCAAAACTTAGGGAGAGTTAAAGAATGGTTTCAGTAAAACTGCTGCTGCCAACCTACTTTTCACAGTTTGATACTGTTTCTCCATAAACACTAATGGGGTTTGAAATCTTGTATTTCAGAGTTTGCTCCTGAGAGTACCAGATAGTCTCAAAGGCTGTCTGGGTGCATTACCCTCATCCTTATATAAATCTGTTTATTTCCAGCATTGGGCAAAACTCAAAAGTACTAAAAAATTTATAGCAAGGTATTTTCAGGAGCTGTATTGAGACCCTTCATATAGTCCCCAAGTGCCTTTGCTCAGCTTATTCCAGGACAACAAGAGCATATCAGTTTTCAAGATATTCTCCTTGAATGATGTAAATTTTTAGAGTTGTTTGACACTGTTTGGAAAGTTTCAGCCTTAACTACACGGCTGCAGTGTGGGGTGCCTCTGAGTATAAACATCATCTGTCTTTTAGTTGGATTACACATCCCAGAGCACTCTTACAGGAGATTTATCCCTTTCAATTTGTCAAGCTGCAGTTGGTTGCTATTTCGGCCTTTTAGCTGGCTCTTTCTACCACTTCTGTGTGTATTTTGAAGAAGGCAAATACAGCTCTAAGTCTCTTGATCTTCGCCTTATGTTGAGTCATATATCTGAGGAGATTGATGCAGAGGTTGCATGTCCGGTGTCAGGGAGCACCACTCACGTGTCCTATTTACATGCCTTTCACCACATTTTGCTGCTGCAGCTTGGCATTTTGAACAAACTTCAGCTTCCACTTTGGTGAGCAAGAGCTGAGGTTTGCTACTTGAGAAGTCAGAAGACTCGAATTGCCTTGGTAGGAGTTGACATTTTTGTTTTCAGCTCATGCTTTTGTACTCTCAGATACCCAACCCAGGATTATAGCTGGGGGCAGCCCCTGTCAACAAATGTAATTTCAAAGTAGTTTTGCCTTGAGATAGTGGCAATTGCTAATTTGCTATCTCAGGAGCTCTTATTCATAACTTGACTGCTCCTGACTAATCTTTTTGCTATCGTTCTAGGAGGCAAAACACCTGGTTTAAAAAAAAATAATAATAATCTCCCCCCTCCATCCCCAGTCTTGCAAGAATTCAATGGGTAGACTTGTTCTGATTAAAGTATCTGGAAGACATGGTAGTCAAAGGGAGGAGACCTTGAACTTGCTGGCACTAGAACAGAAGCAGTTAAAAGCTGCCTGTTGGTGGTTTCAGGTCTCCCTGAAAAAAATTCTTCACATTTTTTGTGTCTGATCCTGCAACTTGAGGAGACAGCAAACAAATATTACAATACAGCCCTCTGTTTTAATCAAACACCTGTTCCTTTGTTCTTCATTTAATTTGCTCAAATTCCCCATATAAAGCTTGTGAAGAAGGATTGCCATCTCCTGGGCAAGGCACACTAAGACAGTTTCTCCATCCACTCAGAAGTCACATTGCTGTCTGCAGAGCAAGTTGACCTTGGATCCTTTTCTAATAGTAGTTACATGGCACACAGACTTCCTTGCCTTCTCATTCAAGTCTGCAGTGTGATACTTCCAAATGCAATGTGATGAAACAGGCTGGAATGATTCCACTATTCTGAGCTTTTGCTTGTGATAACCCTCTTGGTGCTTAATGGTATTTGCTGGATAATTAGGCTGGGTGTCATGAAAGAATCTGATTATTTTTAATTGCCTCTGTCTTAAAGTAAGATCTGTTTTAAAGTAAGGATGCAGAAAGTGTTTACAACTGCCATGAATGGTCATTTTTATAAATGGTTAAACTTGTGATAGTTTCCTGCATAGAGGAGCCAGGCTCGGGCAAAAAGAATATTCAGGGATTTTTGCTCTCTGAAGTACATCCTGTATTGATTACGTGGAGAAGGGTGACCCAGAGCTCTGATGCTTCTGTTGACAAAGTGACTTAGTCCATCTCTCAAGACTGAAGGCAAACATCACAAAAGTTCAGTCCCTGTGTTAACGGTGCAGTTCAGCAGTGCTGGCATTAAGTGCCAGTCAAGCCGTTTCTTCCCCTTTGCGCTATCCACCCCTAGAGAATTAGCTCAGTCCTGTGAGCGTATGTTAACAGGTAGAGTTTGCCTTTTCATTTCTGCTGCCATCTCAGCATCCTGATTATAGCTTCTGTTCTAAATGCTGAACGGCAGGAAAAAATTGAGTTGTTTTTTATGATTTATGTTGCAACTTACAAAATCTGTAAAGCTATTTTAATATTTTACTTTTTCAGGATGTTGATTCACCATAGTTTTGCATATTCAGGTCTCAGTAGCAATACTTTAGTCCTGGAATATTCACCTTAGAGAAGTTTCCAGACCTTTACTAGAACAGCTTTTTCTAACAATCCTAATAAATCTTGCAATATCAAGAGTTCAGAAGCTACACAGCAGTTTCTAAATGCTGCAGAATTTCTGTGTGTGTAAACTTTAACATAAATGTAAACCAGCACAGTAATGTACTGAAATTGTGTTAATGTAACAATGTTAAATGCTACTAAGTGGTCATATGCTTAGATTGAAGATCTTGTGTGCAGTCCTTTTTTCCTGTATAACACATGATGTGTAAATAACTAACTTTTTTAGGTTAAAATTGAAGTAGGCAGTTGTTGGTTTGCTTAGAGCTTCTTGCAATGATGAATGCTCCACTCAATAAATAGTGGTAGAAATGCTGGATGAAAGGGGCTCTGGAGACCATCTAGCTCAGTCTCCCACTTTAGCAACAGTCCTGCTTCATGCTAAATCTGGTCTGCCATGGCTTTGCTTAGCTGAGCTTAAAAACCTTTGTAGATGAAGACTTCACAGCTTCTCTGGGCAGGTTCTTCTAGTGCTATACCGGTCTCTTAGTGATATTTTAAAGGTTATTTTTTTCCCCTAATGTCTAACTGGAACCTTCTAATCCACAATCTGTGACCATTTCCCCGAGATGTCTGGTTCCACTGAGAAACGTGTGGCTGTTGTCTTTAACTCTCCTTCAGGTATTTTTAAGGCTGCTGCTACATGACACCTTAGCCTAAATAAACACAGAGCTCATGGCCTTTGCTCCTAGGTCACACAGAAGGGTGGCAAGCATATCCTTTGTATAGGAAAATCTCCAGAATAATGCAGAGTGGCTCATCAACAGTAAAATGCACTGTTTGGACCTCCACCCCAACATACCTTCTAGGCAGGGGAAGAGAGCAAGTGGAGGGTACCACTGCCGTGAGCGGTGGTAGCCTTGTGTGACATGCAGCTGTACCGTAGGCATCTAGAGGGTTGGCTGGATGTTTGAGTGGTGGGTGTAGATTCACAGGAGGTAACAAGAATGGATAACTGAAGGGTGGTAACTGTCACTTTCTAATCTCATATTCCTGATGCTCAGTCCTGCACCTGCTGTAATCGGAGTAAGTAAAAAAAAGCCTGGAAGTGCAGCTGCTTTGAGACTGTGTGTGCTTGGTGCTTAAAGAAGTAAATCAGTAGGTGAAACTGTCTTGCTAACTGTCTGTTACAAAGGATTGCATTTCCTCTGCTTTTACTCCTCTGCAGCGTTCCAATCCCCATGCTGCCTACCCCAACCCCGGACCAAGCACATCACAGCCACAGAGCAGCATGGGATATTCAACTACCTCCCAGCAGCCACCACAGTACTCGCATCAGACACATCGGTACTGAGCTGCATCCCAATAACGTCAATGCACTGTTGCTAATGCTGCAGGACTGGCCGCACAGCTGCCTGCCTGGAACCCGGCTTGGGCCACGAGAATGTACTGTAAAACCACACCTCCAACCTGTCCGATCGCCACGATCCACCCCCTTCCACAGAGCGGAGTAGTGGCTCCCAAATTGTACCTGTTTTTGGGGTTAGACTTGAAAAGAAAGTGCTAGCACAGTTTGTGTTGTGGATATGCTACTTCCATAGTTTACTTGACATGGTTCAGACTGACCGATGCATTTTTTTCAGTGACAGTCTGTAGCAGTTGAAGCTGTGAAATGTGCTAGGGGCAAGCATTTTTGTTGTCGTATGTGGTGATTTCTCTTGATGTAACAACTTTATCTGACCAATAGTACACAACATCTTTGAACTGGTACTTGAAGCATACAGTATATGTTACCATGGCAAAAAAGCAAACTAACCGTGACTCCAATTGAGACAATTTTGATAGACATTTATTTTTAGTGACTTTTGTGGGTTGGTTCATTTTTCACCTAGATCAATGGTTTATGGCTGACATGATTGCTACAATGAGAATTATTTTTTTTTTAAGAACATGAAAACATTTACATTTTTTTCCAACCATTACAAATGTCCCAAAGATTAATTTCCAACATAAGTTTTTGGTTTTGTTTTTAAATCTATGACTTGACTGGTATTAAAGCTGCTATTTGATAGTAAAATAAGTATGTTGTCATTGATATAAACATGTTTGGTTCAGCAAACAAACTAAAATGATTGTCATAGACAGTGTTTTATTTTTTTTTTTCCTGTTGGTGTTAATGATTTGTGAGCATGCTTTGGGATTAAAAAAGCATGAATGATATTTCCTAAAAAGGTGCGGCATACATTCAGATATTTCATCATGATTTTTGAGAACCAGCTTGGTGTAGTGTATTTTAAATTTTGTTCAGTTGATTATTTTTTTAAATGTTCGCACGTTGTTTAGGGGTGCCATTCCTACAGCAGAGGATCAAGGTGTTAGGAGAGCCTTAGAATTTATGAGGAAAAAACTTACATACAATGTACTGTATCAAACTATTTTACATGAATGACACAAGTATTCTGAATTTAAAAAAAAAAATCAAACATTGTTAAAACAAGGTGTTATGTAATAAATTTATTTTTCATAAATCTGCATATGGCCTTTGCCTGTATTCCTTTTTATCAGCAACAACACTACTCTCCCCCATCGTACATCTATATCTGGTTGTGTCCTGAGAAAGAGGATCTGACAGGAATTTTTCTTGCAAGTGGGCAGGCTTCCATTAACTGCTGAGAAGGATTTTTCTTTTGAAATAACAGAAAAAAATACAGTGCCTTTGTAAAATGTCATTACCCCTGTTGCGTACATGTAGCTGATCAGCTGGAGGTGCACTGAATGTGAGTTTATTACTAGATACGTTTCATAGATCAGACAGCTCCTTTTCATCTACAAAACCGAGAGACGTTCCTGTCTGAATAGTTGTTCTAAGGTTTCTGTAACTCATTCTTATCTTGGTATCTAATGCTGCTCCATGATTTCATGACATAAATATATGCAATATATGCAGGACTTTTTTTTTTTTTTGCAAGTGCTTCATGTAGTATGAATATCAACTAGTGTGATCCATTCACATGCACTGAGTTGCTGATGGGGGGGCAAGAGAACCACCAAATCGGTAGCCAGCCCAAAATGCAAACCATGTTTGAGGTAAAGATGAAATTATCTGAGTAGGGTAGATGTTTAAGTACTCAGGAGACTTTAAAGAAAAAAAGCTGAGGGCAGTTTATGCTGCTTTAGTAACACTGTGTGATACTCTCTTCATTTTGACATCAGTGTTGTCAAAATCTGGCTTTCCTCAGTTTCTGGAATAAAGATAAATATGTAGGTGGGAGTGCCTTAAACTGCTTTTTGATTTCTTTTACAAATTCAAGCCTTTTTTCGTCCTTTCTTTAATTTATATATAGGCTTTGAAATCGCCTGTTTGGTATCTCTAGACTCTTACCAGGCACCAAAATGGCAACAAGAGTAACTTTTCTTTGGCTAAAGTACTACTGGCCTGGATTTTTTTTTCTTTTCTTATTGATGCATATTCATATTAATGCATAATCGTTAATATCATATTAATGCAAATGATCTGGATGATCTTCAAGGTCTTTTCCAACCTAGACAATTCTGTGATTCTGTGCAAACCTTATTTGATAGCAGTATATTGTGATGTCTCCAATGCTTTGTTTAGAAGTAGCAGCCTGGCTTGAATTGCATCCATGCAAAGGGGAATGGATCCAACTGACAAAAAGGCCTCTTGTCATTAGTTTGCACTTGAGTTTAATTTTCCTGTTAAGAAGGTGTTTGAGATGAAGATGAAGCTTATCAACTAATTATAATAAAACTGTATTATACTCTACATTTAGTTCTCAGTAGTTTGCTACACTAATTCATTCTTACTCCATTTTTTAGTTTACTAGTTGGCACATTACCTGAAAAAAAGTAAATCCTACAGGGAAGTAAAATCTCAATATTTGACTTGTTCTGGTGTATTTTCACTGGTCATTTTGGACAAGGAATTTGAGGTTTCTTTCTCTAGAACTGTGGAAATAAAAGGTTTTTCAGTGCTTGGTATAATCTCTGATACCTTCAAGATGCGGTATATTTCTATTACAAATAAGGTTAATCTTGTCATATTCATGACAACTATAAATGATGTTCTGTATTAAAGAAGTTTTTTTTAATACTGGTTTTAGGAATACTGAGAGCAAAAAAAAGTTAACCCCATCGCTGTTCTGGTCTTGGGGGGCTTTTTATGTGAGGGTTACAGAAAAGGAAGGAAGAAGAAAGCACATTTGAGAACATTTAATAGCAGAGTTGCAAATTCCTGTGAAGGAGATGGCAGCTCGGCATGCAGCAGCCGGCGTGTGAGCCATTGATGCCTCTTTCCTCTCCTAGCTCAGCCTTTGTCACCAGGTTCAAGAACTTCAAAGTTTTTCATTTTTCACCAACAATTATCGGGACCAATCTGAATCTGTTTCAGATAGTGGGAGCCTGTCTTTGTTGCTCTGACTGAAGAACAAATTGTTTTTCTGGAGTTAGGCTTATGTTGGAAATGGACTACAATCTTAACTTGATTGTGAGGATAAATATGCTATTGCGCCTTCACCTTGGCACTCCCAGCAAGCCTATCTTGTGGCAAATCTGAATTTATCATATCTGATAAGGACCCAGTTTCTTTGAGAATAAATAAATAATTTTTGCAATGATCACTTTTAAAGAGAGTTTCAGCATTTAGTGGTGGGAGGAGCAGTCTGCAGGAGGAAACAGGAGACCGGTTCTATCCCATCCTTTCCTGTGTGTATATATAAATTGGAAAATGAACTCACTGAATTGTCTGTGGCAGTGCCCAAACACTGCCCAGCTGAGGGACAGGCCAGTGTTAGTTCAGGTTTTCTTTCAGCTTCCTTTTTCCTTCATTCTGAAGCCACTGCTGGGCAGTATCTCTTCTGGGTCTGGGGTGATTCACCTGTGGGTGGCCAATTCCTCAGGCAGCTTAGTGCGGTAAGCCTGGGTGGGAGTGGAGTGAGCAAACATGTCTCTCTGAATTCCTTTTCACTTTCTGTGCACAGTGCTTAATTTTTATAGGATTTCTGTTTGTATGCTTTGCTTTCTCAGAGGAGGTACTTGATGCAGGTGGCAGGTATGTGCCATTGACTGTTCAACCATTATTGCAGTCCCTGGCATCTCATTTCTGCTAGATGGGGTCCTCCAAAAGGAAAGAGCAAATTCCTCTGTGTTTTTTTGCTGAGGTCCGTCAGCAGCCCAAGTCCCAGGTGTCTCATTGGCTACAGCATCCATGGTAGCTTTTGACAAAGCTTTCCCCACGGTGTGGAGCAGCACATTTCTGTGAGACTGATCATTAGGATGTTATTTTATAGGAAGTGGTGTCATCTCTCCTTTGCCAACTGAAATGAGAAGACAACAGCAAAGCATGAGTGGAGTGTGAATGAAGCATGCAGGAGTTAGCCAGATCATGTGAAGCTTTGTCAAAAAGGATGTTGGAAGTTGTTCCTATCGTTTTCACCTTGTTGTCTCTTGTCCATTCAGACCCCAACAGAGGTAGCAGTTAGTGAGAACAAGGGTTGGAGTCAGTTCTTATGCGAAGAAATGATTTGTGCTGTTCCCTGGTGTCCATTGGTTTCTTTCTAAAATTGCTCTTTGCACAACAAGCAGCTCCTCTTGCATCTCCCCCAAGGCCATCCTGGCTTCACTAAAAGGAGAGCTGTGATCTCTGCCTTTCATGTATGGTGGCTGTTGATGATTTTATGGGCACAGTTAGGCAGTTTGTCACCCAGTGGGATAATGGAGGTGGGATGGAGCCTGCAGGATCTTATATTGGTTATTGTGGATCTGAAAGGAAATGCACAGATTATTGCTTGGACCCAGTAGTCAAGTTGCAGACCTGCCATTTGGACTAAACATTGTTGCCATTGTAAGTTGAGCCTATTTTCTGCAGAAGGACTGAGTAATGTGGTGCTCCTTGCACGCTATTTTAGTTACAGCCCTGACTAGAGCATCCCTTTTTTGTTGGGTAGCACAGCTGTCTCGGCATCTTCCTGTAAGCTGAGTGGTGACAGTGCTTCAGGATGCTGGTTCTGAGACAGTTTAATAGCCTGCATCCCTTGAGACCAAGGTAGATGAGCTTAATTCAGTGTAATTTGCTTGTCACAGCTATGGATAAAGAGCACTTTGTGAAATAATGTCAGACATCTGAATGATGGGACGTATGAAGTGCTCTAACAGCAGGAGAGTTAAAGGTGCTTACCATTTGAAAGCAAAACAGAAACAAAAGTGCTTGTTTCACCAAGACTCTTGCAATAAGTTCCACCCCTCCTTGAGGATTTTATGCAGGCTCCATCCTGGCAGTTGGCTTTAGCAATGGCAGAAGGGAGCTGTCTCCAGAGGACTGTCTTCAGTTAAAGGGATCCTGTGCTGTAGAGCTTGGCACCAGCACTGATGTTAAGGAAGCCATTGCCTTGGGGTGATGCATACCGGCTCCAATGCTGGATGGGAATCTGGACAAGCTCCATCACTGCTCTGAAAGCTCCCACATCACAAAATACTGAAAAGTACTTTTCAGCCTGCTAGGATTGGGATGTCTTTCTGGCCTTCACACTGAGTTTAACGATCTCTTTGCATTTCTGGTCCTGGTTGGGTGGGCTGGGTACTCCTCCTGAGCCAGGGGAGGTGGAGGAAGGACTGGTGCAGGAGTGCTTGTTATTTAAGCAGCGCAGCACATCTTGGCACATAACCCCATGCCCACAGAAACACCAAGGATAGCCTTTACAGTGCGCACTCTTGAGAAATATTTGTTTCTTTAGCCTGGGATGTGGGAGAACTACAGTGTGCTTGGAGCAAGCCCTTGCTTAATATTTGTGGGAGCTTTGGATTTGTACACTGTGGCTTCACCCACAGTGTCTGAGGAGCAGCAGCCTCTCTGCCACCCCACCAGCTACATAAGAAATGCCTCCAGCTGACTGAGGAAGGGAGGGAGATGAAGTAGGTATTTGTCTAAAAAGAGTGCCTACAGGAGTGCCGAGATTAGAGTTGAAAAGCTCTGAGCAGATGCTTGTGAAAGGCCTGTTAATGCTTTTCCCAAATGTGCTATATGAGAAGGCAAAGAGGTATTGTCTTACCCTGTCTTCCTTCTCTGAGTCACTGAGCCGAAATCTGACCATGTCCTACAGTTGTGTTTCCAGTTTATGCAGGGTCACCTTTAGTATTCACTGGCTGGTCTTCCCACAGGATGCTGGCAGGGTGTGTATAGAGCTATTCTTACTGATCAACTTTTTAAATTAAAAGTCTTTTGCTGTTTATAGTGTTTCTCAAATATACACAGGGACTCTAAGGCTTCCTACACCAGCCAAGCTCTACCTTAGTGAGTTCTTCCCTTTAACTGGGTAGGGAAGACAACAGAAGAAATTGTTTCACGTGCTTCACACCTACTTCAGCTGTGTGCTCCTGTAGATCAGAACATAGAGATACCCAGCAAGCTGTGGAGGATGATTCTTTGGGGATAAATTCTGTGTTTGGTTGCTAGGAATGATCACTGCGGTGGCTGTGTGCTTTGAGGTGTGCTCATGTCAGTGCAGACAGCTCATATGAG